CTCTGCTCGATGTACTCATTGAACAACTCAGTAATTCAATTGTCCCTCTCGCATTTCCTCTATTGAGCATAATATAATATTACTTCTGGTTCTAATTATAAGACCTCGTTTATAATTTATAAATAATATTTTATAATTAAGACAGGAGGTAGCATAAAAGTAAAAGACTCCGCTTTATAACTACTCTTTTAGCTCTGTTTATAATAATTCTCTTCTTTCAACATGTTTAATTGAAATTTAAAAAAAAACACCCATTAAATCTGCCTTAAAATTGAACAAATTTTCCATTACTCCTATTTAGTTTACTTTATACCTTAAGAGAACAAAGTCTACATAATAATAATAAATAAATAATGAAATTATACATTTATATGAAAAATTTAACATTGTGACATATAAATAGAAGGAAAAAAAAATCTTCTTTTTTCACCTTATAAATAGGATTAAAAGAGTAATTTGCAGAGTCAATAAAATTAGTTTAGTTACTTATTTATTACAAGTGTATGTTGGTTCTCGAATTACGTTTTTAATCATTTGTGTTAGAATTACCTCTAAATAAATCTCCTTAATATATGTAATTAATATAAATAATTTAAAAAAATTATAAGTTTAAAAAATAGAGTAGATTGATATCTTATATATTTAGAATTAAAATAAACTTCCAACAAACTTCTGCGCTTGCACTTAGAAACAGAGGAAGTAATAAAACAATCTCATAAGCATGCACGTTGCCAGCGAGAAAAATAAGTAAATTACTGTCACTTGTTGGGTGATGCCTCTTCTAATTTCTTCCTACGGAACAAATTATTACCATTTACTAAATACGGTAATTTGACTAACTACTATCAAATTATGAACGGCGAACAAAAACTATATCACTGATCGGCATACTGTGGCCAATGATAATAATGTTGTAATCTAATTATGTAAGCAAAGCCTATAGCTAAGTAATCTCTCCGGCCGACGATACTCGTTTATTATCCCTCATCTCTCTCCTCTCTCTTATATTTAATAGGAGTAAAAGTGAAAAAATCATATTAATTATTCTGTTCTCACAATATGTCTTTTATTTTGGATCACAATTTCTTTTGACTAACTTCCTATATTATACTCTTCCAGTCCTAAATATAAGACATTTATACACACTAGTATAAGAGTCTTATATTTAGGACCGGAGGAGTATTATGGATTGGAGGGAGTATCCTTCAAGCTTAGTTTCTATGAGTCAACGCTATCGTCTAATGATTTGGAAGGTCATAATCTTTCTTCCATCAAGACTTCCATGTCTTTTTTTCTTTTGTTTTTTTTTTTTACGTGTTATGCTTTTAACTTGGCTTGCTCTTTAAATTATCTTATTTAGTTAAGAGAGAATTACAATCAGGTCCCAAAGAAAAAACTATATTACCTTATTAACAAACAAAGAATAAGCAATGACAAATTTTAAAATAGAGGATGACAATCGGTTCAGGCTGGTCACTTGTCACTAGGACTTTTAAGTAATTAAATTTTTTTGGGACTTCTTAGTAATTCTCCCTTTGGTTAAACATTATTGTTACTCCCTCCGTCCCAACGTATTAACAATCATAAATTTTTGACGCAAGAATTAAAAAACAATTTAATCAGTAATGCAATTTTACTGAATGTAAAAGTTAAGGAGTTTTTTTTTTTAATATGAAGTTAATAAAATGATAAAATTTGAACTCTCTGGGCACTTTAACATCCTATTGAATGCCAAAATAAATAAATAAAATCAAGCAAAAATATAGGAATTAGTCTGAAAATAATGAAAATGAGCCACCAGTGACGGTGTTAGAGTAGAAGAGACTCAATTACCTTTAAGTAAAATTAATGGCTCAAACCTCATGAATGGAGATAATCACATAAATTGGGAGAAGCTCCCAACAAACTGAGCTGATGTCCGTATTTGAATTTGATTAGTATAGTAACGGACATAGTATATTTTTATTAGTATATCTAGAGACATTTAGTATACTGCATAAAATTTAAAATTAATCAGACACGCCGTTTGAATTCTTATAGATAAATTATATACTACCTCCGTTTCTTAATATAAGAGCTAGCTGACTAATTTGAGTAGATTAAGAAAGTTTGTTAAGTTAGTTATTTATAATAAATATGAGTTGAATTTTCTAGAATACATCTGTCAATCATGTTTATCAGTCAGAACTACCAATTGATAAAATATTTAACATGTGTAACTACTATAAAGATTACTTTAGAAAATTGGATAAATATGAAAGACAGCGGATTGGGGTTTTATATTTAGGACCAAATTGAAAGTTAAACTAGCTCTTATATTAAATACCAGAGGTAGTATATAATTTTACATATTTATATTTAGATATTCGTTAATTGATATAATTCTCGGCATGCATAATGTGATATTATATATATATCCCTAAAATATATTCCTTCGTTACTAAATATAACACCTATTTTTGAGAGTATTATATAATCATGCTATAAATAACCAAGGCTCCATGCTTACCTCTCAAGCCCAGCAATTCACAAACGCACAAGATACTTAGAGAGATAAAGACAGAGAGAGGAGATGGGTTTGAACAAGAAAGCGATGGTGAAAGCGGGTGTGGTGCTGTTTTTGATGGCCTTCACGGCCACCGTTGTGGAGGGTCGCTTCAATCCGAGCACCATGCTGGAGGAGGCGCTCATGAACGGCAGCGAACAAAATTTCATGACCAAGTCGACCACCACCGCCTGCTGCGACAACTGCATCTGCACAAAGTCGATCCCTCGAATATGCCAATGCAGAGACATCGGAGAAAATTGCCACTGTGTTTGTAATTTCTGTGTCTGCACTCTTAGTTATCCTCCACAGTGCCGATGCCTTGACACCACCACCTTCTGCTACGATAATGCTCCTCTACCGCCGCCGCTGCTAAAACTTCCCACTGATCACCAATATGCTTTCATCAATCATAACAATGTTGCTATCTTAATGCAAGGAAAGCCTTTAGCTACCACGTCGGGCCTTGTCTCTGTGTGTGTATGTGAACCCTGCATCTTGTTCATTAAATAAAATATCTTGTGCCTTGCGTGCACACACACACACATATATATATTACCTTGTCCTAATTATAAGAGTTAGTTGAATAATTTGAGGAGATTAAAGAAATAAGTTAAGTTAGTTACTTGTAATAAATATGTGTTGTCTTTCTGAAGATATATGTTGGCTAGAACCATCATTATTAGAAGGACTACCTTGGAAAAAATACATAAATATTAGAGACAAAGTGGATTAAGATTTTATATTTAGAACCAAAATAAAAATCAAACGAGATCTTATATTGAAGACCGGAAGTAGTAGTTTGCATTATATGCAAACTCTTTGCGCGTAAACTCATGTTTTGGTGAGATGTCAAGATCTCAATGTACCACCTGGTTCGAAGGTCAAATGGTTTGTTTATTCCGTGATGTTAGTGTTAATATTGATATTAGCACGTTTGTGTTATATAAGAAGTTTCATTAATAATTTGTGTGTTAAACAATTAGTTAAGTAAATTTGCTCATTGCAAAGCCAGCCTAAATTTGGTGTACGTGGATGGATATATGAGTAAGAAACTAAATCACAAGAGCTAAATGATCAGTCGGAGCTAAATTATTGGAGATTTTCTTGAAGATTCAATTAATGACAGTAAAAAGGAATTTAATGCCTTAGCTTCTTGTCGTTCGGAATTCAATTTTTTTCCCTGTTAATTGTCACGATTACGTAATATATACAATTTATCGATTGTGAGGATGAACTATACTGTACGAGATATCTAATCAGCTAGGACCCCTTTTTAAGTTTTTCCTACTTTCAATGTAAGTGACATGTTTATATTATATTAATCGATTCATAAGCATCACATACATGATGAATTAATCACTTCATCAGATGTTTTCAGAAAGTACTATATTAAAAGTTAGGGTAATCCTCTATATTTAAGTTAGAAACCATTTGTCTTTCTTGCATCATATAGTACAGAAGCTGGTGGCAAAAGGGGGAAAAAGTTACAGAAGAGTGTAGTGTATTAGTTAATATATGAATCAAGTAAAACATGTTGGGTTTGCCAGCTTTGTTGTCCCCCGGTGAAATATTTTGAAGAAAACAGTAATAAATAAAAATAACCAAGAAAAATATGAAAATAAAATGATAAAATTTGGACCTCAACACACACACACACACACACACACACACACACACACACACATCTCGACATGCAGCCATGATAGATGGAACGCATGCGCGTAGCCACGACAGAAGGATAATAAATTAATATAGGTTCGCTTGACTATTGAGAGCAGCACAAGTTAGTTAATTAATTAAAGTAATAAATTAGAATCGTTTTTTTCATTTTTGCTCCGAATAAACAATGTCATTAGATACTTTTAAGTCCGAAACCCATCCTTATTCTCAGAAACTAAACATCCCACATGAGATATGGATTTGGGTGATGCTTCAAACTCGAAAAACAAAGGCCTTGCCTTTGTGGGTACATGAAGGAGCCTAACCATCCCATCATTTACCAGGCAAAGATACTCGAAATTATCTTTGGATTGTCAGAAAGTTGAAAGCCCCACACACTTGTCTCATCTCGTAACTTTTTCAACACGTTTATTTTCATCTAAAATATAACGATATAAACATTTTGTCCTTAAAATCTCGACCTTTGGTTAGGATGTCCTGTTATCCACATTGTCCTCATCCATGTTTGACATGAAACTCAAACACACAATATCTACTGTACATAAGGCATCTAATTAACACAGCGAAGAGATAGGTCTGAGGCCTTAACTACTCTCGTAGATTACTGAAGGCCCCACTTTCAATCACGTGGTACCATAAATCTCTCATACTGGCTTATAAAATGAGACTTCCTCTGTGCTCGTCTCTTCACACATATCAAAACCCAAACACACAGAGCCCCTTAGAGATAGAGAGAGAGAGAGAGAGAGAGAATAGGTCTGAACAAGAAGGCGATGATGATGAAGGTGGGTCTGGTTCTGTTCCTGATGGCCTTCACTGCAACTGTGGAGGCTCGCTTCGATGCGAACACCTTCCTGGCTCAGATGTTCAAGGAGAATGGGGAGCCAAACTACTACCTGAAGTCGACCACCACGGCCTGCTGCGACAAGTGCATCTGCACAAGGTCCATCCCTCCTCAGTGCCATTGCAACGACATCGGAGAAAGTTGCCACTCTGCTTGTAAGACCTGTCTCTGCACTCGCTCCTATCCTCCCCAGTGTCGCTGTGTTGACACCACCAACTTCTGCTATCCTCCTTGCTGCTTTTCTGCTAAGCCTCAGATTGCTGCAAATTGATTCTGATCAGTTAATGGTGTAATGTTCTGTGAACAACAAAGCCAATTATATGCTACTTTATTAGGCTTTGCATCTATTTCTGTGTACATGAATGTGAACCTTCCCTTATAAAATAAACTATCTTGTGCCTCGCATGCATGCTTCCTGTTTGCTTTTTTGCAAACTGGTTAATTACTAGCGAGCACTTGATATTCTTCTATGATATTGTTTTGGTGATTTTCTTTTTCTTTTTTTTTTGGAGACCTCAGTGTGATTTTTTCAAACTAATATCGGGGGATCCGTAAATTTAACAGGCTTTAATTTTTAAAAGGCCTTGAAATTAAAAGACCCAGAGACGTGAGAGATTCAGTGAAGAAGCGAAAGAACCATTGTTAACGTAAATAGAAACTCATTGTGAACAGATGGCCAAGGGTGATTATTAATAGTCTCCGCCATAAAATGATGAATCAATCACAAAGGCTCTAGTGTGCTTGCTTCAAGTTCATTTATCCAGAACTCAACCTCTCAACTCTTCGTGTTGCTCTCCCATAATCAATTAAGCGAAAGAAGTATTCACGTACTCTTTCACACGAGCAAATTATTCGCTGAGGACCACTTCTTTAAGCTGTTTGTTTTTGGTTCCCCCAGGTGCATCAATGGCCAGTTTGTTTAAAATTTTTTGAAAAAAAAAAAGCCAGTGATTTTAAATGGAAGGAGTAAGGGGGAGTTGAGGAGTAACTTCGATTACTCCTCCTTCGTTGGGTTTAATTTGTAGACGTCCAGATTAGTTGAGGCAGAGTGGCTCATTAGGCCACTTGAGGATTCCTCTGAAATAAAAAAACTAACTAATTTGTCTTGACATTTTTCTCCGAAATTTCAATACTTCTATTCTCTTTTCAAAATATTCAGAGATATTTTTAAATAATAAAAAATTGATTAATGTCTAAATTGTATTTAAAAAAACAACTGAAAAATTGAGCATCAGACAAAGGCGAGGGCCGTTCAATTTTTGGACTCACCCATCTATTATTCGCAGCTGATGTGATATTGACATAGTTGATCACGTGCTTCAGTCAATATAACGGAAATTAATTGCGTACTACTTATTAACTGAACTTTTCTTAAACAAACTTTACAAATATTTGCATACATGAAAAGATTAATTAAGAATATAATAATTATATATAATATAAAATTTTTACTGATTCCATATAATATGACCCGCTTCAGAATATAATTATGAGCATGAGCCAACCTAATTTTACAATAGTTGATAAGGAAGCAAGGACTTCCAAAGGCATTCTTTGGAAAATTAGTAATACTACCTCTGATGCTAATTATAAAATCTCATTATAGTTATACAAATGAGGTGTTATAATTAATATTAGAGGCAGTATTATAATTATGTAAAATTAACCAAGATTTGAATCTCATAAAAAGAGATATATACGTTTAATACTGGACAATACTTCAAATTAAAGAAGATGGTGAACGACAATGGCGAACCCAACTACGTCATCAAGCTCATCACGACACCCACTGCTACCATATCGGAGAAACTACAGTGAACAAGAGGTCGAATCTTATTACAAAACTGATTTTCGCATAACAATATAAATCATTTGACCTTAAAATCAACCTTTCGTTCTGATTTCCTGTTATCCACATTGTCCTCATCTACGTTTTGCATAAAAGTGACCCACGGAAAAATAATTAATAAATTAATATTTTGCGAAGAAGTAATGAAAAAAATGAAGGTGAGGTATATCCATTAAAAGATAAAATTCATATATCTTAAAACAAAGCATTAAAAACAAATCTGTTCATCATAATAATTCTCACCTTTTATTTAAAAAATTAGAAATTTTCTCCCTGATAAATCAGCTCTCTCTTGCGAGGCTCTTGTTTAGCTTTGTGGACCATGGTTTTGAATCACGTGGTGCTATAATATCCCTCAAATTGGCTTATAAAATAAGGCTCTCTCTCTGCTCGTCTCTTCATGCACATCAAGACTCAAACACAGAAATCCCTTAGAGCGAGAAGATGGGTTTGAACAAGAAGGCGATGATGACGAAGGTGGCCTGTGTGGTTCTTTTTCTGGTGGCCTTCCCTGCAACCGTGGAGGCTGGTCGCTTCGACGCAGACACCTTCCTGTCTCAGATGTTTAAGAACAATGGCGAGCCTAACTACGTCATCAAGTCGACCACCACGGCCTGCTGCAACGCCTGTCTCTGCAACAAGAGGAACCCACCTCAGTGCCACTGCCAAGACGTCGGAAAAACATGCCACTCGGCTTGCAAATTCTGCATCTGTGCTTTGATTTATCCTCGTCAGTGTCACTGCCTTGATACCACCACCTTCTGCTATCCTCCTTGCTCCTCTTCTGCTAAGCCTCAGATGATAGTAGCAAACTGATTCTGATCATTAATGGTGTCCAGGCCTATTAATAATCTACTACTTTTATTAGGCTTTGCTTCTATCTATTTCTATTTACGTGAATGTGAACCTTCCCTTATAAAATAAGCCATCTCGTGCCTTGTAAGCATGCTTCCTGTTTGCTTTTTGCAAACCGGTTTATTACTAGCAAGCACTTGACATTCTTCTATCATTATTTTCCATCTCTTTGCATCATTATACCTTTTGACTTTGGTTTGCCATTTAGTTTAATTTGTTTTAAATTTAATATTAAATATTTGAAGGGAAAGTAAAAAGGAAAATCATTATAACGTCCCAGAAAAGAAATGTAACGATACTAAAACTTGTTATTGCTTGTTGTTTACTTATATATTGTGGAATTTTTTGGTGATTATATATTTCTTTTTTCAGATCTTATAGTAATTTTCCTAAAGTAATATCAAGGGATCCGTAAATTTAACAGGAGTTTAATTTTTCAAAACTGCTTGAGAAGGCCCAAAGACATGAGAGAGTGAGTGAAACACGAAAGTACCATTGTTAACGTAACTAGAAATCCACAGTGAACAGATGGCCAAGTCCTATGATTAATTGTCTCGGCCATAAAATGATATGAATCAATCACAAAGGCTTTACTTGCTTCAAATTCACTTATACCCTGAAGTCAACATCTCAACTCCTCTTGTTTCTCTCCCATAATCAATTAAGCAGAAGAAGTATTCATGTACTCTTTTACATGGGCAAATTATTCAGTAAGGACCACTTCTTTAAGCTTCTTTAAGTTGGGAGAAGGAAGGGGGAGTTGGAGAGAGTGAAGGGGAGTTGAGGAGTAACTTTGAGGTGAATAATGTATTTTTAGGTTGTTTTCATAACTCCTCTTTCATTTGTTTAATTCATATTAGTTAGTGGGAAGTAGAGGGGTGTTTCAACTCATCTTCCCCTCCATTTCTCTTCGCCTCCCATCTCAGCCATAAGATTGCAACTTGAAGAGTCTAGATTTTATATTTTATAAAATTATGATTAGTGTTAATTTTTTAATGAATAAACAAATACAATTAAACTACTAAATTTAAGTCATGATAATATAAAATGATAATAAATGGAAGGAGCAAGGGGGAGTTGAGGAGTAACTTCGATTACTCCTCCTTCGTTGGGTTTAATTTGTAGACGTCCAGATTAGTTGAGGCAGAGTGGCTCATTAGGCCACTTGAGGATCCCTCTGAAATCAAAAAACTAATTTGTCTTGACATTTTTCTCCGAAATTTCAATACTTCTATTCTCTTTTCAAAATATTCAGAGATATTTTTAAATAATAAAAAATTGATTAATGTCTAAATTGTATTTAAAAAAACAACTGAAAAATGGAGCATCAGACAAAGGGGCGGGCCGTTCAATTTTTGGACTCACCCATCTATTATTCGCAGCTGATGTGATATTGACATAGTTGATCACGTGCTTCAGTCAATATAACGGAAATTAATTGCGTACTACTTATTAACTGAACTTTTCTTAAACAAACTTTACAAATATTTGCATACATGAAAAGATTAATTAAGAATATAATATAAAATTTTTACTGATTCCATATAATATGACCCGCTTCAGAATATAATCATGAGCATGAACCAACCTAATTTTACAACAGTTGATAAGGAAGCAAGGACTTCCAAAGGCATTCTTTGGAAAATTAGTAATACTACCTCTGATGCTAATTATAAAATCTCGTTATAGTTATACAAATAAGGTGTTATAATTAAGATTAGAGGCAGTATTATAATTATATAAAATTAACCAAGATTTGAATCTCATAAAAAGAGATATATACGTTTAATACTGGACAATACTTCAAATTAAAGAAGATGATGAACGACAATGGCGAACCCAACTACGTCATCAAGCTCATCACGACACCCACTGCTATCATATCGGAGAAACTACAGTGAACAAGAGGTCGAATCTTATTACAAAACTGATTTTCGCATAACAATATAAATCCTTTGACCTTAAAATCAACCTTTCGTTCTGATTTCCTGTTATCCACATTGTCCTCATCTACGTTTTGCATAAAAGTGACCCACGGAAAAATAATTAATAAATTAATATTTTGCGAAGAAGTAATGAAAAAAATGAAGGTGAGGTATATCCATTAAAAGATAAAATTCATATATCTTAAAACAAAGCATTAAAAACAAATCTGTTCATCATAATAATTCTCACCTTTAATTTAAAAAATTAGAAATTTTCTCCCTGATAAATCAGCTCTCTCTTGCGAGGCTCTTGTTTAGCTTTGTGGACCATGGTTTTGAATCACGTGGTGCTATAATATCCCTCAAATTGGCTTATAAAATAAGGCTCTCTCTCTGCTCGTCTCTTCATGCACATCAAGACTCAAACACAGAAATCCCTTAGAGCGAGAAGATGGGTTTGAACAAGAAGGCGATGATGACGAAGGTGGCCTGTGTGGTTCTTTTTCTGGTGGCCTTCCCTGCAACCGTGGAGGCTGGTCGCTTCGACGCAGACACCTTCCTGTCTCAGATGTTTAAGAACAATGGCGAGCCCAACTACGTCATCAAGTCGACCACCACGGCCTGCTGCAACGCCTGTCTCTGCAGCAAGAGGAACCCACCTCAGTGCCACTGCCAAGACGTCGGAAAAAGTTGCCACTCGGCTTGCCAGTTCTGCATCTGTGCTTTGATTTATCCTCGTCAGTGTCACTGCCTTGATACCACCACCTTCTGCTATCCTCCTTGCTCCTCTTCTGCTAAGCCTCAGATGATAGTAGCAAACTGATTCTGATCATTAATGGTGTCC